TCTAATAAGTGCTGGGTTCACCATGCGTTGCATAGTGACAGATAATCTTTCCACTAATATTAATGTATTCTCATCGTTACAATGTTCAAGTCTGAATCAGAATATTTTATTAATCACAGAATCTTTAAAATAAGAGTTTTATGTCAAAAACTTTAGAAATAACTTAGTAAATAGAAAAAAATTTTTTCCATATTTTAAATACCATAATGCAAATATGAGTATTGATTTTTCATCAGGATTTATTAGTTGGAATAACTTGTTCAAGATTTACCATAATAATAACGGACTAAACGTTAAACTTGTAAAAAGCTTGTAAGCATTACACCCTGGAAATATTATTCCACATGAAACTACAATTGCAGCTTCAAAATGCTATTATCTAAATCGAAAAGATGTTTCAACCTTTTTAACATAAGCATATTTAAAAGTTAGAGACATTGGTCTTGAAAATAACTCTTTCTCTCCTATCACCTAGTAGACTATTTGTTCCATTCAAACAACTTGCAAAAGGTATTTATAGTGTATTTTCTATTTTAGACTTAATTGAGAATGAAACTCAATTTCTTTAAATACATTATCGATTATTAAATCATCATCGTATCTGTTACATAAATACGCACCAAATAGCAAATTTGTTTGAAAGTGAGGAAATTATGTTTTCAGTAAAAATTATGGTTAGTGTATTTTTTAATAACAAACAATAAATATCGATTTAATAAGGATTTTGATTTCAAGAATAACATTTATAAAGAGGCAAAGAAAAAAATGAAATCAAGATTGCTAATATGTCAGTTTTATAGCATTTGTTTATTTAGTTTATAAAGTTTACCTATTATTTTATTTCTTTAAACTATTTACTGACATCTTTTCATGGCGTTAAAATATGAACATAGATACTAAATATAAATACATTATAATACATTATAAATACATTATATATACATTATAAATACATTATATTTACATTATATTATAAATATATTATTGATAAATACAATATACATAGATATAAATGAATATGATTTGGAAAATTTCTGTAACAGTTCTCCTACAAATATTACACAAGTGACTTTTATTTTAAATAAATATATAATAAAAACCAACTGCAACTTTTACATTGAAAAACTAAAAAAAAAGTTAAAAATTAATGTTTGAGTTGCTTTTAAAAAAAATATATTCAGCGCAGCCATTGTTTCCAGTAAAAATCAGTCTCTTATTATCCCCTCAAAAATATAAGATATAGGGCCCTAAATACAGTAGGCTATGGATCATCATCAAATGAAAATTATAGACTGTTTATTGAAAAATACAACAAGGTTGTCAAGCTTTATATTCCAAGTACACCATTACCTTTTGTTGGTAAACGAGAAATATGGGTCACAGAAAAAATAACTCAAAAAAATCTTGTGGGCTAAATATTTTGCAGCAGGAAAAAATTCATATTTTGAATTACTATATGCACACAAGTTAGCCAGTATGAACGTTTCGAAATTTGTGAAACGAGCAATAAACGTGTGAAATCTTATAAAAAATAGTAACCATCAAAATCTTCATATTCGTAGTAAGCGAGTACATGAGTAAACGAGTACAAAGGGTAAACGAGTTATTATAACAAACAACAACAAAACCATTTGCAAAACCTAAAACAACTTCTTGATTTTCAAGTGTCTTTGCTACAAATTAACCTTGTCCATTTAAACACCTCTGACCCAAAACAAACGTCTATTGTTTTATCTAACTATCGATCGATGAACTAAAAATAATAAGTCGAAAAACCACTGAGACGCTTTGATAAGTCAAAATTCTTTGCTTTTGATGGTTATTTACTCTTTTTAATGGATACTTACTCAGGTATCCTAAAAATGGTTAATCAAACGAAAACAAAGTGTTGTCATTGATGGTCATTCATCAAACTGGAAGATTGTCACCAGCTTAGTTCTTTTTCTTGCTACTTTTCGTACTATTTATAAACAATCTACCGGACTAAATAGCAAATTACTTCAAACTTTACGCAAAAAAACAAAAATCCTTAAAACCACTAAAAGAAGACTCTCTGCACGCGGATCTAAACGAAGTTGTTGAACTTAAAATTAAATTCCTAGTCAGTTAAATACCACAGACCTTATATGTTATATATATATATATATATATATATATATATATATATATATATATATATATATATATATATATATATATATATATATATATATATATATATATATATATATATATATATATATATATATATATATATATATATATATATATATATATATATATATATATATATATATTATCCTATGTACTCTGTCCGGCAGGCGAAGCTGAAAATATTTAAATGTCCGGCTTTTTTAATATTTTATATTTTTAATTTTTTCATGTTTTTTTTTTTTACGTATATTTCCATATTTAAACTTAACTATTCTTAAAACTGTATAATTTTTAATGTCTTTTTGACATTCTATAATTTAATTAAATCGTCAAGTTCTACTTAACTCTGCACATTTCGCTTTTCCAATTGCGTTGCAACGTTTATTTTATCTTAAAGTTCATTCATTCATTTGTATAACATTTTGCCAAACAAAAATCAAAACAAAAGTTAGAACATAATTTTATTCTACTTTAGAGCCGATGACACCTCCCCACACACATACACACTTTTTTTCTAAAGGATTTTTTTTATTAGAAATTTCATAATTTAGAAGAATTTTTTTTTTTAATTGACGATGGTGCCCCTCCACTTTGAAACCCGTGTCGTTGGCCATCATTTAAAAGTAACTGTTCTCAAAACTGCATATTTTTTCGAGTTCTTTAGTTGTTATATGGAACGGCAAAAGAATTTAAAAACTTAAAAAGGTATATGCCTAATCTTTTTCAATTAAAAGGTTTTTAACTCAGCACATTTTGTCTTTGTTTTTATAGTAACGACAGCGCTTAAATTGAATTGTGATTTTCTTTATAAAAATGACGTCAATTTCTACAAAGAGAAAATGCAAATTCTCAAGTACCATGAAAAATAAGTATTCATGCTTAGCTCAAGGGCGCAACGAGAATGAGGCAAAGTGTACGATTTGTGATATTTGCTTGTCCGTCGCTAACAAAGTAGCTACTGACTTAGAGCCTCATGTTAACAGCCGTAAAAGCCTAATCTAAGTGTCAGCGTCATCGATAAAGTTAACATCATTTTTTTAACCTAAAACTCAATATCTTTAATGTTACTACAGAATGCTTAATGTTATATACTAATCTGTTAATATTATATAAGAAAATGTTATACTTCGCATAATATTTTTTTATGTAACATTAACGGATATTATACTTTGTCGTTTATTCTCATCCGGTGTCAGTACCGTAGCTAGAGCGTCGGTTTTTCTTACCCCACCATAAAAAAGGCCATTAGCTCCCCAAAATTTTAAAATTCGTTATAAGGTATATATAAATCTAAGTATGTCCTTCTTTTGGTTTTTCTGTGTCCTTCGTTAAGCGACCGTGCAACTGGCAACCCTACACAGAGTGATGTTTTAAATGCAAATGAGCGTAAGAGAGTAGCTTTAACTTACAAAGCTGATTTTGATGGCTCAAATCTTTGACTAAAACTCTACTTTGTACTGTCGGCTTTTGCAATTTAAAGTTGTAGAGGAAACTGCATATCTTCTTCGTGGACATTAGAAAATGAAATCAAACAGCTAACTCAAATTTCCTTAACTAACTTAACTACTTAATAGTAAGTGTATTAATCTTGATCATATTATTGAAACTTTTATCATCTGTTTATTCTACTGCTTATATATCATATCAATACATAAAATATATTAATGTTTAAGCAAATCAAGATATCATTTTTTTCCTTTTTTCTTTTACATCATGATAATATTTTTTTTTTTATTTTTTTTGCACTTTTTCTCTTTGCCACCCTCTCACCCCCTTTTGGCTTTATTTCTTTTGCTGTACAATAAAAGGCAGAAGTGTTGGTTTGTCATGATCAAATTCAGACACAGTTAATGGTGATGTGAGGATCATTTTTTTGTCTACTAATGTATCCGGTCTGTCTCACCGGATACATTAGTAGACAAAAAACGTTTTTTGGACCGGTTGAGAAATACTGTTGGACAAACTGGCTGATAAGATAGAGACATTTGTTGGAATTGGCCGATCAGATACGTAAGAACATAAAAAGTTTTTATCTCTGAAAACATATGGATTGTGTGGGAAATGCCAGCTGCTTTATAACCATTTGAATGTTTTGGGAAGTAAAGGCTCTCGCAAAAGCGAGAGCCTTTACTTCCCAAAACAACCCTACTTTATGGGTTTTTAGATTTTAGCTCCATATTAATTTTACTAATCATAACGTAAAAAAATTAAAGGCCTTTTCTAAATTGCCAAGACAGCTACAATTTATGATAAACAACCATCAATTTATGATAAACAAGAATGCAGATGACTAACAGAAGCCTACTATTCTCAAAATTTTATATTCAGTTATTAAATATTTTTTTAGCTTTAAAAAAACTTACTTGTTTTGTAGGGTCTATATGACGTAAATGTTTTGAATATATTATTTATATATGTTAATTATAAATTAGCAGTGTTACAGCAGTCTTAAAAAATTGTTGCAACTTTTTCCCACAATAAATTATGCCCAATTCTAAATCGTACAGTTAATTTAATTTGCGCGGTTTTTGAGCAAATGACAAAAAAGGCAGTCAACTTCAACATTAGAGTATAATTTTATTAAAAAGAAAAACTTATACACCAGGAAAAACTCAATTTGGGTATATCTTCCAAAACCAATAAAAAAAATTCCTATGTCCCTAGAAAAAAGATAAGCTAAGAGTTCACTATTAAAAATTTCTTTTTAATAATGTAAGCCTATAAAAGGTCTAAAAGTCTTAGAGAGTAATAAAATCTGGATATTGTACGCTATTACATAATCTGTCATGTCAAAATAAGGATATGTAAAAGGTAACTTGACAGGGAGAAAAAAAAAAAATAACAGATTTTTGTAGCATGTTTTCCACAGTATAACAAAACTATCGTTTATAAGATTTCTACAAAAATATTCGTAACCCAATGTGGGTTATGCATATATATCGTAATAATACATGGATTAAAATGAGACTATAAGTTAAAACACTTATGTAACTTAGCAACACGTACTCTTTAAAAAATGCAGACAAACTTTCATTTATCAAAACAGCAAACCTTTGTAATTAGATTTTGCGTGTTCATAAAAATAAAAAAAAAATTACGAAAGCTTCGGCAAAATCACGATATTTAAATCAAAATTTAGGACTTACATACAATGTAATAATAATGTAGATATATATCGTTGTTTTTCGCTATGCACGCTGTATAACCAAATTTGCAAAAATAATGCAAAAATACACATTTCGACAGCAATGACGACGACAACAACATGACGACAAAACATACAACTAACATGACTAACAATTTAAACTTTTCTATTTTTGCAAAAACAAAAGCAGAAATCTTTTTCAAACTGCTCAAAACGGAGTTAAAAAATCTTACCAGCAGTGACAATGTACATTCATGTTTTTTAAATAAACATAGATCATAAAAAAAAATATATCGTTATATCGTGGTTGTGTAACCTAATCTAAAAAACTGACAAGGATACACACAACAACAACAAACTTTTTATAACATATATTTATGTAAACAAGACACGACCAAAACTCCATTAAAACACAAAATCACATGTTCGTTTAGATTATAAAACTAAAATCATAAGATATTACGAAAACATTAACAATTTCGTATTACAGATAAAATGGAGAAAGGCAAATTTTTTATTTCTGACAAATTCACTAACGTAAAACAGTTATACGAAAAAACACAAATATAAAGCTCGTGCTAAGATTCAACTTCCACTTAGATATAAGTTTAAAAGACTTTAAATTCTTTATAAAGCAAACAAAATATTGCAAAAAAGAACTTTACAAAACTTTTTTTATAATTCTATTTGTAAACTAAAAAGTGAAAAACTTTTGACAGATTTTTCACTTAAAAAATCTCCATAAAAAACGGAAAAAAGGTTAAAAACCCAACAATACATATTACAACTACATATTAAAATTCTGAAAAAGAAGTAAACCCTGCTTCCAATGAAATTATGTTTTAGCACATGGTGTTTATCATGTCATAAACAATATAAAAGTTGCTAAGTAACTAATAATTATCTCGAAAAATAAACTGTACACAGAAAAAAAAAAGTTATATAAAAATGAAACAAAAAATTAAAAATAAAACATTGGGGAAAAAAAAACTAAAAAATAAAAAAAAAATTAAAACTTTATACTGATTACAAAAAAAAAAAAAAACATTATTTATACCCTAATAAAGACACCTTTAAATACTAACAAAACCTCTTTAAACATAAAGTTGTTATTTTTTATTAAACAGTAAAATGTAAGAAACGAAACGATTTCAGTAACGTAACAAATTCTTTCAAGACGTAAAACCATATATTGTTTATTTTATCTGATATTATATTGAAGTATGACATATTATGACGTCCTACTTAGATAATATTATATATATGACATGATATAAGATGATATGTATATATTTACTACAAAATATTAAACCTGAGGTACATAATTGAACCAGAAAAATGGTCAGCTACCCAAATGAAGCAAAATATAATAAAAATAACTTTTAAAACGTGTGAACCCTCAAACAGGCCATATTAAATATTTCATACTTTTCGATTTTCCATTCAACCAACTTCACTGAAATAAAAAAAGATAAAATAATGTTATAAATTTGTCTCTGTAATGCCTCACTTTTTGTATATGTTAAAATCTTTGTTTGGAATAAACAAGCAGAATTGCTATTTTAAAATTTAATTACTGGGCCCTATCTAGTTACTTCAGTACAATTTTCAACAACTCAAATAACTCTTGAGTTCACTAAACTGTTAGCACCAATAAATGAATGTCCCATAATACCAATATTTCAATTAAAAGATGTTAAAAACTTGGGTTTACTCACTGTAAACCTGACCCAGTCATTCTTTTTACTAGGTAGATTTGTTCATATCAAAAGTTTACTATTTTAAAGTTTATATCTTTTAACATAGCAACTAAAAACTTTTAACTAATACTAATCTTTGAATAGCATACAATGTTCAGTCTAGACATTTTGGCAGGTAGATATAGGTAAATTTATTTAAAATTTATATTAATCAAAAACTAATCAATTGCATATTGGATGGATTATTTAAATACAAAGACACAATTATGAGTCATCGATAAAAATGTAAAAAAAAATTACTTACAAAAAATAAAAACTTCAATCATCAGAGAGTAATTTAAAACCAGGTGGAGGGCGAACAGCTGTTGTAGGACCTGATAACAATCCCAATAATCCTTGAGGATTTGAGCGATTGTTGTTTAAGTCACCACTCCATTCCTTCATCATAGAATACTTTTTATCATCTATCTAAAAATTAAATAATGTGCATATTATAATAAACAACAAAACAAATAGACATGCACTTAACTCTTAAATGAATTGAATTAATATAATTCAGTCTCAATAAAGCAATATTAGATGAAGAATTTAGAAACAATTGTTACTTATAAAAAAAAAGTAAAACTATTTTTTATTGAAAATTAAAAATTGTTTACAATTTAGTTTTTGAAATCCAGTATCTATTTTTATATAGAGAAAAAATTTAAAAAATTAAAAAACTAGTACACTGACATGTTAGAAATTTATCTTATTAATTTAAGCATTTAAGTTCTTATATGTTCAGGGAATTTCCCACCACTTCTTTGTATAACTTGTTTTGCTTCTTTTCATGTCAACACTTTCAATTTTACCAATATCAGAATTCTTTTGAAATGCAAAAATTATCGGCTCATGTTTCTTTTTCACACTTGCAGATAATTGAAACAGAGAACTTGCATTTATAAATTTCAGTGACCATTTTATATTTGCAGTCTAATGTTATTTTACTTTAAACACTGATTTTTTTTTTTTTAAAATATCTTTTACTCTCTTTTAAAAATTTACCTTTGGAATCAGAGGTTTGGTAATAAAGAGATTTGATTATTAGGTGAAAAAAATGTGTTTGGTAAAATCTTTTTTGTTTTAATGAAGTTTAAGTTGCGCTAAAATGATTTTAAATATTGATATATTTCATTAAAATTTTGCAATGCCATCTTTACCACTAAAATTTTCATACAAATTAAAGATTGCCGCACTTACGCAAAATAAACTTTCTTTTTCCCACATAGTTATAACTATGTGGGAAAAAGAAAGTTTTTGAAGGACAAAAAATAATTACTTTAAAACAAGTGTAAAACACATAATTGCACAAAAATCAAGTTTGGTGGAAGTTTTAACCCCTTTGCAAATACAGAACCACCACAAACTGAAAGATTATTCAAGATTTTTTTTTCTTAACAATAGTTATCCAAGTTGTTTTAGCGTAGTTGTAAAACTTAAAGCTGAAAAAATAATCATGATATGGAATATAGTTAAGACTCGGTTACCACTTTACTGGGCCTACTTATTGTGTAGAAAAATAAGTTGGAGTACTTCTAAACACTTCCAGGTTTATTAACTAAGTAAATGCAAAGTATTATCAAGAAGAAACACTTCTAAAAAATTGGATAGGCTTTTAGACATATATATATATATATATATATATATATATATATATATATATATATATATATATATATATATATATATATATATATATATGTATAATAATAATAATAATTATATATATTATATATAATAATTATATATTATATATAATATATTTAATATAAATATATATATATATATAATATATAATTATATAATAATTTTATTTTATATAATATATTAATATATATATATATATATATATATATATATATATATATATATATATATATATATATATATTGCTTATAAAAATAATAAGCTTACTTACATAATATAATACTTAATATTGAGCAATTGCATACCAAATTCATTGTATTACTATGAATTTCATATGCTATTGCTCAATATTATCAAATAATATTTAGATTCCTGTAGAAGAAAGGTTATATTTAAAAGACCAAAGCGAAAAGTCAGGCCCAAAAGAATCATTTCAATGACTCAGTTGATCCTGAATGGTCTAGAAAAGAATCTTTAAAGAAACATAAAACTGAATATAAAAATGTGGAACAATCATTACAACAAGAAACATCTAATTTACTTCCAGAAATAGCATTATCAGAATTTGATTCAGAATCTGTCATCTCTAGCTCTAGTGAGGTAATTAACTTATAAATTGAAAATTGGGTCATTATCATATTAATTTTTTATATCAAAACTTTTTGTTAATGAACTTTATAATTTATTATTTTAGATATAGAAGCCTGAAAGAAATCCATAAGGAATTTACAATCTTTGGAAGTTTGCAAAGTTTGCAAACTTCAAAGTTGATCCAACAATTATATCAAGTTTAGTTTTAGACAAATCCAAAATAGACAAAAAAAGTCAGTTTAAGTATTGTCAGACTTAAAATCCGTTAGGAATAAGAGAATTTGTTGGCCTTGATGTTGATGGTAAAATTGATAACGAAACTTTAGTTATGAGAGAAATAAAAAAAAGAAAATGGTGAGGTTGTATTAAAGAGATCAACAGAGTAAGAATATGACTGTGACCAAAAAACTTCTCCCTAACTTTTACACTGGGGAGTATCTTACAAAGTTTTACCTCTTGTTGGAGCAACAGGAAAAGCAAGCTCAGCGCATGTGCGAAGTTCTTGAAGAGTATGATTCTTTAAACACTCGAAAAGCAGTTTTGGTAGACAATACTTTAACAAACACAGGTCGTAAAGCAAGAATGGTTATGGAGTTAGTGAAAAAATTTGGATGAAAACTTTAGACTATAGGCTGTAGTTTTTATCAGAATAAGCTTCCCTTTAGATCTTTGTTTAAAACAATCGATGGAGCAACTAAGTCACCATATTTTTACTAATGGTCCAGCAAACCATTTTGCTGGACCAATGATAAAAATGACAAATATCAATAATGAGCTTCAGTTGTTAATTTAGTTGTTAATTTTGGTGTTATCAAGTCTCCAATTATTGTTTTTTTTTTTTTTTTTAATTTTTTTAGATGATTTAATTAGTGACCAGAGGCTTTTATATGAATATTGCATGGGAATTGCCACTGAAAATATGAGTGCTAAATATTCAAGTTTTTTCTTCAAACTTTGGTCCCTTTAATTATTCTGGTTGGTTAACATTGGCAATACGGTTGATGTCCAAGTAATAGTCCCTGATTCTAAATTAATTTTTTTAGTCCAAGTCTATGTTCCTACATGGTTCTTCCATAAAAAAGAGCAATAAGTGACATGAAGCTCCATCAATTATATACTTTATGATCAATTAAATCATGCTCCAAGGAAAAGTGGAGCAAAATATTTGCTTAGAAAACTTAAGGTTCAATACTTTTTGCCTACTTTCTGAGAATATTTTGTACTCAATGTTAAAGTTAGAAGAAATATATATAAGATCAATAGCAATGCAGAAATTACTTGATATTAGAAATTGTAAAAAAAATGGTCAAACTATAAACAGAATCAATAAAATTCCAGAAATAATATTGATGCTCATATATGGTATGGACTCATAAAATTTTTTGATGAAGACATAGATGAACTAGCAACAACTCAAGATTTTACTGATGAAGAGATTGTAGAAAAGTTATTGTCTGGAGAAAAAAATGACCTCCCAGATCTTCTTTCACATACTGAATCACTTCTCATACTGTTTTTGAAAAGGAAGCACGTCATAAGCATATTGTAGCATAAATTCTAAGCTGAAAGCATAGAAAGAGTTTTATGTATAAATGTTATTACAGCCAGATATATGACATTATTTTTTGTTAATTTAAAAACTAATTTATTGCTACTTGTACATGTAAAAATAAAATTTATTAAAAATGTATAATATTTTTCGAGTTTGTCATTAACTCACATGGTTGAACATTGTTAAAATAATTTCTAACTAAATAAAAAGGTCTTATTTTTAATGCAATTTTTTAAAATGGAATCTTGTATTTATATAATTTCATCATTTAAAAATTTCAAAGGTTTTTAATTAGCAGTATCAAATTTTAACTTATTGGGTAAATTCAAATTATCTGAAATAATTAGGATAGCTTTTGTAATAGAATATTTTACAAATATTCTATTACATAACCCAGACATCAGCAACCTATTTTAGGTTAGAGAGGTTTTTCCTTAAATAATTAAAATAAATCTTAAATAATTAAAAAAAAAAGCTGCAGGATTACAGTTTTAGTATGTTTTAAAGATCAAATATTATGCAATTTGGACAGACTGGAGAGCTACGGAGTTTAGATAACAGAGTAGCATGAGAATCACTAACCGCTTGTTATCGATCCCTGAAATAATCATTATACAAATTTTCAATATTTAAATTTGACTTTAAAAGTAATAACATCTAAGAAAAAAAAATTATTTTTGATTTAGAGTATTTTTTTTTTTTTTTTTCTTCATTTCTCAGTAACTGTCAGTCTTTTTGTTTTTTATTTATTTTATTTTATATATAAATATTAATTTGTTGGGTCCTGAATTTATAATACAATGCCGGAAACACAGCTTTAAAGCTAAAATAGCTCATGATGAATTTATTTTAATTTCATAAAATTTTCCAGGATGTGTTTTTAGATTATATAGAAAATATCTCCATAATGCCAAACACTTAAATCCAAAAAAAGTTGCCCTACACTGTAGGTATTAAAGTTTTATTAAAAGCAAATTTAACTTGTGTGAAACTATTTAAAACATTAACTAAAATTTATTGTTAATATATTATTAACTTTATTGTTAGTAGTTTGATTTCAAGATTAGTTTATAATTTTCATTAAAGCAATACTTGAAAACTTCTTAATAAGTTGGAAATTTACTTACAGATAATTCCACTGGATGAACAAATGTTGTGCAGTTAAATTCGCTACATGTAATTTTTTTAAAAGTAGCTATGACAGATTAGTTAATATTATCAAATAATCAAAATAGAGATATACCAAAATGAGTTGTGGCGGGAAAACGGATTCATGTATGCTTGGCTATCACATATTTTTGATAACAGAACATGTTTTAAAAAATGCATTTAAAAAGTGATGAAAAATTAATTTAATAAATCATTTTTTTTTTATTGAAATCATTGAAATTTGGATTCTGCTGAGCTCAAAGGTATAAAACATGATTTGACTAAACGTTTTAAAACCATGCATAATTTAGTACAAATACAAGATCATTTTTTGAAATTAGCAATAATAACTATATGCGTGATCATTCTTATAAGTTAAGCAACAATATAAATCAATGTTATTAATTAACAAACTAAATCAAAATCAATTTAATTAACAATATGAATCAAAATCAACAATATAAATCAAACCAATATTCACAATTTAATTTAGCTCTTGAACTTTTGTTATTTACTTTAATGACCTGGATATTGTTTGAAACAAAATCTATTATTTATGTTGACGACACAGTCATATACGGTCCTGGAAAAGATATACTTAATATATAATCGCATCTTTTATGCGATAAAAATCTTAAAATGATGTATAAAAAACGTGCTTATACTCAACCTAGGAGTCGGTAAAATAGAGTCAATGTTGTTTGGTACATGGAGTCAATGTTGTTTGGTACAGAAAAATCTCTCTTAAGACAACCAAACCCAGTGAACATTTCTTAGAACTTTAACTCAATTTCTCAACAAGTTGTTAATATCTAGAATAATCTGATATCAGAAGCTGTAAAAACCAAATGTTTAAGCGTGAAATCTAATCATCTTAGTTCAATAAACTTTTTCCAATTGAAATAAAATCTGTTTATATTTAAATTATATTTTGTTTATTATGTAGATTATTTTATTACTTATTAAGGGCACACTTTTAATGTCTGACTTTTAATGTCTAACTAACAGTGTATTCTATGGAACATGTATTCTTGTTCTAATAAATTTTATCTTATTTAAAAGAACAACTAAAAAAAAAAATTTAATAGATACTTGATTAGAACAAAAAGTACAACCAACATTATTAAATTAAACATTTTTCAAGTATTCAAAGTAAGTGTTACTAGTATGATCTATTCATACTAGCAACATTACAATAATTAGATTAAAAACCAACCAATCAAATGAAGAAAGTATTAAATACAAAACCAAAAAAAAAAAATTTAGAAAAACTATTAACTACTTTACTAAAAAGTAGCTTTAACTTAAGAGAGACCAAGTTCTAAAACTTAAGTTGCCATCACCTTGGCTATAGAGCCTTGTCAGCACAAAATACGTGCTCTTTGTACGATGATGCTGCTTTTTTTTTTTACTGTATTTATTTAGCCCCCAAGACTGAGGAGGCCACTACATACAAGGACGCTACTCATGAACATACTTTTTAATTTTTGCTACAACTCTGTCTAAACCTTTTAACTCCTAAACATGAGCCTTGACAAACAAAACCACTGACAACAAAAAGCTGTGGAGAAAAAATTGCTAACTACTTGGAGTAGTGTATCAAACTAAGAAGTTCTTGCTTACAAACCAAGTGCTATAAAAATACTACTGCGTTTTCATGTAACAAAGACTTATTATATATATATATATATATACTTTCATAAAATAATTAAAATACATACATCATATTTTTTTCCAAGAGATTCGCTTGATAGATTTCTATCTTCACTATCTGAGCCTCTAAATATAATTTAATTGGATTATAGTAATTTATAATAATTCAATAAATATAATTTTATTGACTTATTATAAATGTGCAAAAAATAATAAAACAAAAACAACAGTTAAAAACAGATAAACTTTATTTTAAAAGAAAATAAAAATATTATTTTGTATTTAAACATTAATCATTTTACCTGAACAAATCATGAAAAAAATTTAACAAATAAAAACAAATTTATATTTGATGTTTATTTTTGTTTTGACAGCATTCCCCTCTGTACTCTAATTTGATAGCATTTTTAATTTATTCGAAAACATTAACAGAGTATCGTGGAAAGCCTTTTAACAAGGAAGTTCAAAAAAACTTCCTTACTGATATGGCTTATTTGGCTGGAGCAGCCTTGGCACCTCACACCTGATTCTGAGGCCAATGGCTGCTTAAGCTGTAGTGCAACCCATATATATATTTTTAATATTATAATATGTATATTTCAATATATATATATATATATATATATATATATATATATATATATATATATATATATATATATATATATATATATATATATATATAATCGATATCGACATCGGCCATTTTTTGCACAATCGGTATCAGTATCGGCTTTTTTTACCGATTTTCCAACCGATGGCATTATGATATTTTTATCCTGCATTATTTTTTTGTGCATTATTATAATAATTAAATAATAAATAAACTAAACTTTGTGCATTACTTAGAATTTTTTGGATAAATTTTTATTTTGACTTTGTTTACAGGCAAAAGCTTTAAAAGTAACCTATTTAAGCATTGTTATCTATATATTTTTAATTCTTTTTCACTCCCAATAAGGTTTCAAGCAACCACATCAAGTTGGGAGTTGCTAGAAAAAAAGAGTAGAGTTATAGAGCAATGAAGTGGTTGCCAGAAAATTTAAAAAGTTGAAGGTTGTATGAGTCAGGAAAACATGAAGATGGGGCAGAGTTCCAAAGGGTTGAAGTGCGTGGAAATAAGCTAGACAAATAAACGTTTTTGGAGCATGAAGAGACAGATACAGTCGAAGAATGAAACTTTAATGTCAAGTCAAGCAAGAATGAGTTTTGATTGAAGGAACTAAAGATGAAAGCTCCTTTGAGCAGCAACCATGATAATATTTGTAGAAAAGAGAAAGAGATGCAACTTTACGATGATGGCAAAGAGGCTCAAGCTTTGCAGATAAAACGGGTCCAACTCTGTTTACAATGCGTTTTTAAACCTTATCTTGAAGAGAAAGAGCATCATTAGAAGAACCAGTCTTATTCGTCCCTGTATTCCATACAGGGACGAATAAGAGATTTGTAGAGGAAGGGCATGGAATCAGGAGAGAGAAAATGGTGAGCATGATAAAAAGAAGCAACCTTAGCAGATGCTAATTTAGCAATCGATTGTATATATGGTTTCCATGAAAAGTCAGTAGTAAATGATAATCCAAGAAGACGTAAAGAAGTGGAATCAGTGAGAGGGTTGTCATTCATCAATAGAGGAATGTCGACAGTACTACAATAGTTATTTGTCTAATAGTAAGTTATTTGACTCGAGATGGAATGTGAGAAATTTGTTTATCAAAGACTCTAAGACCTTGCTAATAACAGAAAGAAGACTGATTGGACAATAATCGGAAGGGTCACTAAGTTTACCAGAGTGTTTAAAAATTAGAACAACAGATGCCATTTTCCACCAGGCAGGTAAACAAGATTCAGTCAAGCACTTATTAAATAGTTTAGAGAAAATTGAAGAGAGTTCTGGAGAACAATTTTGTAAGACTGTGACAGGAATGTTGTCTGGACCACAAGCCATAGAAGAGTTTAATCGAGATATGACTATGAGTAATGGAAGCTGAAATGATTCAAATGTCTAACATTAGGTTAACTTATTTAATTAGAATGAAAGGAAAAGAATGGCCATAAGATTCGAAAGCCAGATTAGAAGAGAATTTTTTTGCAGATAGTTCAGCCTTATTTCATGAATTTAAGTATAGCCAAGTATCAAGTATATTTCTGAATTTATAATTTTTTTATTTCAATTCACCTCCCTTCAATTGAAGATTCTACTTTAGTTATGGTTACAACCCATTTTCAACTTTAGAACTCAGAAACACAAACCTTGATGAACAATGCCGCTGCGTGTAGAAACAAGTTAAGCGCTGTATTACCAGGGACGTGGTGGGGATCCAACATTAAAAATTAAAATAATTCTAAAAACTATTTCTTTATCTAAAAATAATTTATGTCTAAACAACATATGATTGTTGTTAGATATCTGAATTACTAATAAATTAATAAAGAATTCTTAGTAAACTACATAAGCATATTTTCTTTTTTTAAAATTAAAATAAAAAGTGTTCCTCTAAAATTGTATTAATTTTTTTGAAAGTTTTTTTTTCATAGTGGAAAAAAATTAAAATGTATATTATTTTAACTGAGTTTTTTTAATATTAAAAAATTTTAAAAATAATTATATGGCTTTGATTTCAGTCCAAGTATTTGTTTACCAATACCAATTTAAAGTTGTATGGTTTTATATTTTCAAATTTTTAAAAATTAGTTAATTCATTGGTATCGGCATCGGTATTGGCCTTTTCCCATTCATCGGCATCAGTATCGGCATCGTCCAAAAAAGTGATATTGGTACATCACTAATATATATATATATATATATATATATATATATATATATATATATATATATATATATATATATTGAATTTAGGAAATTATATATTTAATTTTTAAAAATAAAATTAAATATATAATATATAAATTCCTAAATTTTAAATTTAGGAATTTATATATTATATATTTAATTTAGGAAATTATCAAAAATTCATCAATGATTGACATTGTTTAGAAATGTTGCTTTACGAATTTACTCTTTTACATACATTTTACTAAAGTTTATATAGTATTAAACAAAAGTTTAGAAAAATCCTTTTTGTTTTAAACTAATTAACACCAAAATGAAAATGAAAATAAAGGTGTCAAAGTCAGTTATTACAATTGTTAACAAGGCTCTATCATATGCAGAAAATTTTGCTAAAATAAGTTTGCGATGCTTACAAAAAGATTTGGATATGGTACTAGCTAAAAGAGACTCAATACTTGTAAGAATTTCAGCTCATTCAACTTCTGCTTCTTTTGCAAGAAATAGATAAGTTCTTCTTAAGATTGAAAATAAAGAGAAAACAAATACTGAGCTACCTGTCACTTTTGATTTTTCTTAAGTTATTCTTACAACCATAACTTTTGATTTTTCTTAAGTTATTCTTACAACCATAACAAAATTATTGAATATATAAAATCTTTTGTGCATTTTTGTGAAGTTATTTGTTTCAATACAATCAGAATAAGTAGAGGGTTAGCCGAGGCTTAACCTTTCCTACTAGAAAGACCTCCAGTTATTAAGTGACTGAAACCTAAGCGCTGACTCCACATGGAGTTTTTTTTAACCCTAACATAGCCAATATAATTAGATTTAACAAATAATTTTAAATAGGAAATAAGGCCTAATTAAATAAAGTTGTTATAATACAGTAGGAAAAAAATTATGCAACATTTTTATATGATTATTATGAAGGATTAACGTCAGTTTTACTACAAAAAATTCTAATTATCTTTATAAAAAAATCAAATATTTTTTACCTGCAATCCTTTAATTCTTTCCATGACCATGATGTGTTCTAAAACAATCATAAAACTTTAGTCACTTTTATAAAGCATACCATTAACTTTTTAATTTTGTGAAAAAACTTTATTCATACAGATTTTTTTATTGAATCAATGGATGGAGCAGCCCATATCAAGGAATCCCCCCAAATTTTTTCATTTGATTGTGGTGATGTTTGTGACATACTGCTTGATCCACTTGATCGAGGAGAACATGTATCAGAAGAGTAACCCAAAGAGGAACCTCTGCCAGAATCAATAAATGAATCTATTCGAGATTTCCCGCCAAGTTTCCATTCTTCTTTGGAATCTTTCAATGATGAAATATTTAACTAAAATAAAATTAACTCTGTATACCAATTGTATAAAATCAAAAACATTGTACTAGTATTAATAAACAATTTTAAACACAACTCACACTTAGTTCAGAATCAGTATTTAATAAAGTGCTAGAGCTTCCAGAAACTCCTCCTCTCGCTAGTGCAGTCCTTGTTGTAAAATTATGAGCAGCAAAAGGCTGACTAAACATTCCCGGATACTGCATGTAATCTTGTTGATACTGATAAATAGGATTGCAAGCTTGGATTTGTGGAATTGCAGTCTGTTGCTGAAACATAGTAGGATTGGACAAAAATGAAGTTTGATTATTTTGTAAGTAAATTGTTGGATGTATCTGATGTTCCCTCACATCATAAAAATGTTGCTGCTGTGGCTGTTGTTGGCTGACATAAGCAACTGAATGGTATAAAGAAGGACTTGATCGAATAGAGACTGGTTGAGATTCAAAAGAGGCGGACATATTTACTAAATCTCTTCCTAAATAAGTTTAACAGATAATTTTATAAAAATCGAAAACCAAATTTTTTAAGTCAATTTTCTAACCAGTAACCAATACAAACAAAAAAAAAAAACCCAGAACATTTCAACAATGCATTGATATTAGAGTCAACATGAAAGACAAAGCCCAATACTCATGAATCCAGGCTCATGATCTGTGTATGGTGAAGCCTTGGTGTACACTATAGCTGGGTATAGTGTACACCAAGGTTTATGATATAGCAAGAATGATCACTCTAAGCCCATAAAAAAGCCTATAAAGAACTGCGAAGAGGGAGAAAACCATAAGTTCTTTACTTATTTTTATATAAAATATTTTTGATAAATTTTGTTAAAGATGTTTAATTAAACAGTGAATTATGAAAATTGTTGAAAAAAATATTATATAATATTACATCTAGTATAAAAGCTTAGACTCTACAACACTCAGTTTAAATTAGAGATGTTTTTACAGACTCAGACCTTACAGGATTTTAATCAAAAAATTATCAAAAGTGTTATTTAAAAATAATAATAATAATAATGTTACCTTCATCAATCTTTGAAATTGAACAAATTGGACTAAATGGTGACCCATTTGATGCATCAATACTTGTTACTTGTGTTCTATATTGAACTGAATTTAAACCAAAAATCAAAAGATTTACTTAGCAATGAAAAACTATTAATATCATTAAAATATATTGAAAACAAAAAGAACTTTTACCTTGCTGTGATTTTGATAAATTTGGAGAACTTTGATTTAAATTAATCTCATCAAACTCGTCTTCAAGATCATTTTCACAAGAATCTGGTGAACTGTTTGAATTGGCTCTAGAACCCTGGTGATATCCATTTACTCCAGTAGAAACACGCCCAGCTGGGACATTTCTGCGTTTTCGATACCTTGAATTTTTTTAGAAAAGCTTAAATAAAACTAAATATGGTTTCATAATTATAACCCTTAAAATTTCTTGTTGAACAACACAATTTTGGGATCATAAGTAATGAAAGGAAAAATTGTGATTATAGTAATAGGATGTGTTAGTATGTTTTTACTATTTAAAATATAAGGAGAGATTAGGAGGTGGGGCAAAGGAGATATAAAGTTAGGTCAAGGTGGTTTATAAATGTAGAGCATAACCATAAATATATGGAGAGATTAAGAGAAAAACAACAACAAAAAAAATACAAAAAGGAGAAATAAAGTTAGATCAAGGTAGTTTGTAAATGTAGAGCATAACCATAAATAAAATTAGGTATAATTTTTTGGGGTATTTTAGGTATTATTAGAATTATTAAAATGGTTTAAAGTATTAAAGAACCAGAGTGTGAAGAAATAGGTGTTAAAACTTTAACTATTATTAGTGATTATAATTATTATTACCAAAAATTACAATTCATCGCATTAACTAGCCTCAGCTCTAAATTTGACTCTGACTTTATTTTATTAAACATATCCCCATTCCTGGGGTAATGTTTAGTAAAATAAAGTCAGAGTTAAAATCAAGCTCCAATTACTAAAAGCCATTTTAAAACAAATTCTGTGAGTTAAAGGATGTCACAAATGATGCTAGACATTCTCTAACTTAACATTATTTTTATTAGGTTTTTAGGTTAGAGGAAGAACTAATTTTTAAACCAGGACTCATTGCGTGTAATGATGACTTTAGGACTGCAGACTAATATTCAATCCTATTTCAATAAACATGCATTTCTTTTCCTTATTCATTTTGTTCCAAAAAAATGCATAAGGAAAATATATTCGTTTTTTTGCAACTCTATTTACAACAAACAAAAGTATAACTTGATACTAAGCTCAAAAATTTTCTTATATACATTTTTTTAAATTTACTACCTTTCAAGTTCCTCTTCTGAGTGAGCAAAATTACAATTAGCTCCACGCGGACACGTATTTTTTTGAATAATATCTCTACACATACTTGTGCGGTATTTTGTATTGATCATCTACACACAAAATCAAACTAAATTTTAATTAACTCAAATATATATATATATATATATATAAGTTATTTAACTTGATATTACTTACTTGAGTCCCTTCTATATTGCCTTTATTTTTACTAGCATAATCCTACAATACAAAACATGTGGTCTATGAAATGGTTAAAGAATAATTAATAATTATAAAAATTTATAATACTTATTAACAAATTATTATAAATTAAAAGAACATACTTTAGCAAAAATTCTTAATCCTGACACAACAACAAGAAGAGACGTCATGCATTCTTCTATATCTTTCCATAATGGTGGTTCAGCTTCAGGATTAGGATCAATGCTGGCTAACTTCTCAAGGTGAATTTGTAGGTCTTGTAAGTTATGCGGATCATCAGTTCGTTGTAATGCAATAATAAGTTCTTGTATACTTGATGAAAACGAAGCAGGAGTTTGAAGCTATAATTATAAATAAAGTATATATATATATATATATATATATATATATATATATATATATATATATATATATATATATATATATATATATATATATATATATATTATATATTGAATACTTTTTTTTTTTAAGAAAAAAAAAAAGATTATCTTTTTATCACACACCTTATCAATGATTGACTGCATATGTGATTTATGATCATCATCGCCATATAAAAGAGCTGACCATTGCTCTGGCGATATATGAAGTCCAGCTTCCATAGCAATTTGTACAATTTGCGCATCGTGTTCTTTTCTAAGTGCTGAATATGTTTGATACTGAATATAAAAAGCAATTAATAAAGAATAAGTGTTTGCAATTTAAGTTAAAAAGACTTTTCAAGAAATTTTTAATTAAAATAAAATAAAAACACCTTTTCATGAAGTTGTAGTAATGATGAATCACCATCTCTTTTTGTTACCTATCATTATTATAGAATGAAATACAATTTAAAAAATGAAATAAATGTATAAAATCCAATAAGAATTTTTTTGTTTTGCAGTTAAAGGGATCCTAAACCTCCGAGACATGTTTTATTCATATTAAAGAGAATAATAAAAAAAATGTTTGGGCTAAATTTTTTTAATTAAAACAAAAGAATAAATGAATAACAAGATAAACTAACTTTTTAATTTTAGTCGAAGCTCGTCTTCTCCATTTTATTGGAGGCCTACAGACTTGATAATTTATTCAAGTGCGTTTTATTCCTAAGAGTTTTAGTACACAACATTTTTGTTTTGTTTGCACAAGAGATCGATTATGTAAACAAACAAAAGTCAATGACGTCATGTACTTAAACTCTTAGAAATTAAACCCGCTTGAATAAATTATCAAGTCTGTAGATTGCAGCGTATATTATGCTGACTTTTAGGCCTACAATAAAACGAAGAAGACAAGCTTCGACTAAAATTAAAAAGTTAGTTTTTCTTGGTGTTCTTTATTTTTTTGTTTTAATCAAAAAAATTTAGTACAAACATTTTTTTTTATCATTCTCTTCAATATAAACACAACATGTCTCAGAGGTTTGGGATCCCTTTAAACAGCTTATATAGTTAGGGCAAGGAATTTAAAAAAAAAATTTTTTAATTCCTCCTAAAAAAAAAATTTCCACCTTAAAACAAGAAGCTCTGTAAAGTAACTGCACAACATGTCCAATACTTGTTTTTGATGCCTGTGTAAACTGTTTCTCTAAACGTTGAACTACAAACAAAACTAAAACCTTTCGTGATAGAGAAATCCCATCCTCTAATGATAAAAGTATCAATCTAAATATATAACAGCAAAAATAACTATTATCAACTTTAACTATTATTAAAATTAAACTGAAACTTAAAATGAAGTAAAGTAATGTAAAATTAAATCATAACCTTTATTTATATTATATTTATAACTATAATGATAACATAATTAAATATAATTATAATAAAGTATGACAAATTAAAGAAAAATACAAAGACTTCGTTTGTCTTTTACCTAAGAACAGCTTCTTGCATAGCAGGACCTAAAAACTGACAACCTCTTTGTCTTACAGCTGCCCAAAGGGCTGTAGATAATGTCTGTGGGCTTTGATGCATCAAAATTAGTTCTTTCACAGCTCTTTCACCAATACTTCGTGCAGCTCTCATAGCACGAGACTGACCTTCCACCTCTGCAAGTTGACAATGTAAAATTGAAACAATTTTTCGCTGCATGGGCCTTGTAAGGATCCCATTACCACTTGTATAATTACAATTAGAACTAGTTATGACAATATTTTGCAAGCATTCAGCTAGGGTTTCGATAGCAA